AATTTTTAATTCTATAATTATTTGTCAAAATAATTTATTCTAACTAGATAACACTGCAAAGTAGTTTTATGTATATTTCAATTAATCTGCATCCGTTAGAATTGATCATCTTAATATTAAGAATCATTATATCGGAGGATGGAAAGCTCTACATTATGGTATCTTTCACATCTCTATATCTATAATATAAGAAATCTATTTGTTCTGGAAATTCCAATTTTACCCTTAATGTTGATGTGTCAACCAACCACGCATCATAACTTCATTTCTTCAATCTTCTTCCATCACGTTATTTTTTTGTCACTCTCACTAACACCTTTTTTCATCTTCTTCTCTTCTCACTTCTCTCTCAAACCTCTATTCTCTGATTTTTTTTATTTAAAATTTCATCTATCTTTGTTTTCAATATTCTTCTTCTCAACTTGAGACATCATCTTCTTCATCATTTTATTCCTTATCATCTTCTACAAAATCACTTGATCTAAAATGATAAACATCCTATTTGAAATCGTAACCTCTAGATCTGCAAACCTTCTCAACAAACTTCATCTTTTTCTAAAAAGCTTTCATTCCTAACCTTGATATTTTTCATTTACATATTTCTTTTTTTTACTTTGGGATAACAAATTTTATTAAATTCTTCCTTTCAAAATGGTTCTTCATTTAAATAGTTTTGACATTTTTTATTGTTTTCATTTTTGTTTCAATTTTGTTTTCGTTTCAGTTGCTATTACACAAGTTTAAGCTTAACTTAGGAATAAGAATGCATTTGAGTAACAGTTCTGAAAGCTGAGCCATGTAAAAAGAAATCTTCCTCCAAACCCATTTATTTTCATTGTTATTGTCGGATCTACGGGTTCAATGAGACCTCGTCTTCTTATATATGAAATTTCAACCCTATTTCACTGAGAATGATTTATGGTTTTAGTGTTTCGTTTCTATGTTTTGTTTTAGAGGGTAGAAATAGTTGATTTTTTAAAATCTCTATTCTTTTTTTATTATCTCTTAGTTCCTCTTTCTTTGATGAACCAAGGAAGATATTTTGACAAAGATTTTTATCAAATATTTCTCTCTATTGATGATGATGCATGTTTTGGTATGTTTGGATGCTACTACCCTCAATCTACTCTTTTCCAACTATGAAACTATCTAACGTGTGAATTCACTCACCAACACAAATTTATTGCATTTATTTTTTTCTTTCATTCTTGCAGGATGACTATGCCATTTGAACTCCTAAAGGATATTAATAAAAAAATTCTGGATTTTAGGTTTACTTAAATGTCATAAATTGTCCTATACTGATTTGATTTTGATAATAAAATTTATAGATGTGTTATATGTCATATAATATATATTTAATGATAAAGTGGAACTTTAGTAGATTTATTTTAATTCAAATTAAAATTAATTCAAAAAAACTTTGAAATATGGGAAAGACTATAGAGGTATATCACCATTAGTTGTTTTTCTTTGTTTTCAAGCTGCATCATCATTACTGGGAAAGCTATTGCTATTGATGGAGGTTACACTGCCTAGATTTATGCTATTAATATATTTGGTATACAAAAGACATAAGATGCAAGACTAATAGACCTTGGACTTTTTTATTTATAAATGATTTGTTATATTTTTATATTAATTTTGTTTACGAACACTCTTAATTAATTTTAATTATTGTTATTCTAAATATAGAGATAGGTAGATAATCAATTATAATTTACAATCATAACTAATCAATTTATAATAATTGTTATTGATCTAAATATGAAGTTATTTATACAATATATAAAGAGAATACTTTGTTTTGGTGTTGCATATTTTTTTACCATTTTTACCCTTATTTTATTGTCTAATTTACTTAATAACTTCCTCTTATTAACTTGCACGTAACTTCTTATTATTAACTTTCAGATAACTTCTTATTATTAACTTTCACATATTGTATTTAAAAAAAAATATTTTAACAAAAAATATTGTTTATATTTTTATGCGCATTAAAAGAGCAGACAAACGGACACGCGAGTATCCGTCTGAACGTCAGTGTATATAATAGTCTAATACATCATGTATTCAAATATGTTAATTACCAATATTTTTGTGTTCCTATAAGAAAAAACAAATTGCAAGGTATATGTCAAGCTTTATCAGATTTAATATATATTTTTAGTGTTTATACGTGAAAGGTATATGATAAGCTTTAACAGATTTAATATATTTTATTCAATTTAAAAACATTGAATTACTTCTCGAGAACTAACTTTCCATATAGTTTTTAATTACTACGTTTAAAAATATGTATGACTATAAGGTAACATAATATAAAAAGCATGTGAATATTTATAAGTGATTTATTTACTGATTAACATTTTTTTCTGCATATTTTTATCTGGTTTTATGTCCTACAAGTACATAGTTACTCATTACTTTTTGAAAATCTATCATGTCACCTTTTATAGCATGCCTAAAGTTTAAAAGAGGAATGTAAGAGTACATAATAGATAAGGATCTTCTTTACAATGGTAAATGATTTTAAAACTAATATTTTTTGTCGGATAAACTTAGCCAACATCTTATCTTCATTTTTCAACAAATTTATAAAAAAAATTGAGATAATAATTTCATTTATTACTTTCTATCAAATAAACAATTAACAATGTGATCTTTAAAATAATAATTTATATGTCATCTTTAAAATAATAACACTTCATTCAAATAAATATAATTGCTGAAACAATTATGAAATAAATATATATGTCATTAATGCATATAGTAATTATTAATATTTAACTTGAGGCTTAAGAAAAGATTGAGTCTCAAGATGATATTGTTCATTCACATTAAAGAGTGTATTGTCCCATCACATTAAAAAAAGATGATACAAAATATTTAAAAAATTAAATTCATCTCTTTTTTTTATAAAAATGTTAAATATAAGTATTAAATATTGATGTGATACTTTTACTATTAATGTCCTAAAATAATAAAAAATGTTGATATTACAATCTAATTGACCTATATCTATATCTATAGTGCTTTGAGACGCAACCACAAATCATAATTACTAATCAATTCTTTGAATTTCTTCTAATAAATTTTTGAAATTACTAATTCTTTATTGTCCATCAATTTAATATTTTATTTATTGTTATAATTGTATAATTTAATATTTTATTTATTGTTTTATAATTGTATTAATTTAAAATGATCATAACAGATCTTTTAATATTATATTAATTGAAATTCATATGGTAATAGGAGATCATCATTCAATTATATTAAGTGTGAAATTGTGATGGAATTAAAGGTTTCAGGTTCGAAGAATGATAGATAAAAAAAATTGTAATGTGATTAACTCTTCAAATTATTATATTATTTTATTTTATTTTAACTTTTTTATACATATTTATAGTAGTAAAGTATTACAATTTTAGATAATTTTATTATTTTATTTATTATAATTTTTGCAATTTAACATCAAGAAAAAATAACATATGATCCGAGCTTATAGATCTAACATTGAACTATTACGAAGTTGGATAACGTTTTTTTGTTTTGTTTATATACTATTATAATTGGTTAAAAAAAATCTTTTTCGAAAAAACAGCGAAATAAATATTTATTACCTCATCAAAAAACTACTTATTATATTTCACGCCGACAAATAAAATATATTATAATGCACCTGCTACAAATTAGTATGCATGATCTAAGATATTTCATATCTTAGAATAATAATTAAGTTATTAATTAAAATCAATTAATTAACAAGATAAAAAAACTCTCAACTAGAAAAAAAATAGTAAATAATATATTTATTATTTAATTTTTAGTAGTTTAAATTAATTTACTATTTTATTATATATTAATTAATTAAATAATAACTAGACGTGCTACACACATATTTGATTTATCAAAGTATTATTATATTTTTAAAAGTTAAATTTAAATATATAATATAAATTCTTATAATTTAGTTGTTCTTTTAAAGAAATAATATCAAATTTGTTTAATAGCAATACTATTAATCGTAACTATGTACATTTGTTAGGGACCTATGTGACATAATAATATGACAATGCTTTATTGATTTAAGATTTTTAATGATATTAATATTTTTGACGAAGGCTTGTCATTTGTCAACCATACAAACAAATTTTGATCAAATAAGTATTTGTTTTTTTTAAAATCAAAAAATTAAAACAATTATAATGCTAAACATCAAAATATTGAATAATAACAAAAACGAATTTATTATTAATTTTAATATATTTGTAAATAATGCCAAAAAAATATTTATATACAAAAAAAAAATAATTCAAATATTTTTATATTAAAAAAAACTGTAGGCACCAATTTAATTAAAAATAATAAAATTTGTTCGTTAAATATTTTGTTTTCTTTCATTTTATTATTATTATATTTTAAAAATTAAATTACAGTTTTGATCTAAGTGTTGTGGTTATCACAATAATAATCTTTGATCTTAAGCTGGCACATCATTAAATTAGAGATAAATTGAGTCTAAAATCAAGTATTTGCAACCAAATTATATTTTAATTGAAGACTAACTAGCTTATTTTCACAACAAAATCTTTATTTTTGCAAAAACGTGCGTGAACAGTGTCGGATAGTTCAACTTTTCAACTTTTTTTAATTTAATTTTTATTATAATCTAAAAAAAATGCGCGTAAGAATTCACGGGTCTCCTAGGCTCCCAGTTCCATAAGAGAACCATTATATATCCTTTAAAAGTGAAATATTAAAATGTATAAAAATGTATTCATCAAAATAATCTCTTACAATTTGAATAGAATAATATTATTTGAGGGTAAAATCGGAAGTACCGTAAAAGCCAGTCCAATAAACCCTTACTACGTTTAAACCATCGTTTCACTCCGTCGGTCACCGCCGTAACTGCCGCCTCTCTCTAGCCAATTCCAAACCTCTCATTCCCGGTAGCTGCCGCCTATCTGTTTTTCTTCATCTACTTCGCCTCAATGTCCGAATCGCAGGTAAATCTCTTCCTTCTTCCACTTCTCCCACTTCAATATGTATCTTACAAAATTATTTATTGTGTTTTTAGGTTGTTGCACTGTCGAAAGACGATTCAAAGAGTTACAAACCTCATCACGAATTTAAACAAGATGTCAAGGAAGCACTTGTTGATCTTAACTTGACAGAATCTAATGAGCTTTGGCTGCTTAAATTGCCATTTTCCAATGTATGCTTGTTCCTCTGTTATGCTCAGGGTTTTTATTTAATTTTTGTTTATTTTGAATTGAATCCAGTTTCAATTACTGTTGTTTCTAATTGAATGAGTAAAGGATAAATCAGTAACCGTTGATATCAATTATCACCATAGTTATAACAATGAAAATCATGTGTGATTTCAACTACCAGAGTTAGAAGTAGTAATTGTTAGAATTAGAGGAAACAATCATTTTGGTCCTAGAACGAGTGTATCAAAATTGCAAATATATTCCCAAGTGTTTCTTGTATTAGTCATTTTGGTCATTGAAGTTTTTTAGATAATCGGTTTAATCATCAAATTTGTTTTTACTTGGTCAATTTAGTCCGTAAAATTACTAACGAAAGAGGCACTAGATATGTATTGACAATTTCGATATGATTAAGGTATGTAGTGGCAGTGCTTAAAATGATTGTTTGCTTGTCAGTTTTGAAATTAAAATAGTAATTGCACAACAACAACAATCAAACCTTATTCCATCATAATGTACTATTCAGGGCCATGCTTATATCTAAATCGTTAATCTCAAGATCTTTTTTAATGATTTCTCTTAAAGTTTTCTAGGTTAATATTGTCATTTCTAATCTTATCGTGTCTAGTCTTACCACACATTCAACACAACATTCTCATCTCTGCTACAGTTACTTTATTTTCTTCGTGTTGATTCTTAACCTCTTAATGTTTTGTCCAGTACAACATTGCACGTAACTTGCACATCTTACCGCAGTCCGATAAGTTTTTCCCTTAGCTTGAGCGGTACCTTTGTCACATAAAACCTTTGAAGCCCTCCTCCATTTCAGCCACCCAACTTGAATTCAATGGGTTACATCCCCTTCTCCATCGTTTTGTATTTTAGACCCAAAATATTAAAACCATGTGACTTGTGGGATGATATGTCTCTCAATCCAAACAGACTCTTAACTTCTTTATGGTCAAACCCCTCTATTTTAATCTCAACTTCTCTGGCGTTTGATTTCTTTTGTGATTTTAAAACTGATATTGCATGTTTTATTGTGTTCTATTACTTATGAATATATGTTAGCAAGTTGCTAATCTTTCATGAAGGACTGTGAAAATTAACATGCCTCTTACTTTATTGTGAGTGATTGGGAAGTTTTTTCAACTATTTTTGGTTTCATTTGAATCAAATGAGTTGGTACCTGTATTGGCAGTTTTTCCTTATATCTCGAATTTAGATGATGGATGAGCCTCTATTTGTAGTCGTGTTAATCATTCATGCTATGTTCTTACATTCTCTGCATTTTGTGTTGACCAGGATTTGTTAGCTGACATTGATGGGCAGGAATTGTTGGTCAAACTTGATAAGGACGGCACCTTGGCCAGCTTTGAGGGCGCGTCTGGTAAATAAGATAACCAATTTTTTTGACATCCTAAATGCCATATTTCTTTTTCAATTTCTTTATCATGATCTCTGAAATGGCATATTACATGATTATTTATGATATGAATATAGAATGAAACTGATTGTTGTGCAAGTTCCTGAATTTTATTGTTACTATTTTGGCAGGGAAAGCGTATGATTTTGTCAGCTTTGCTTCCATGGAGCCTGACGAAACAGTTTTTGTTCCCTCTGCTACAGAATTGAAAATCGGTATGCATTTTTTTTAAAATTTTTAATATCTCCTTTATTACTCTCATTGGTAAAGAGAGAGTGATTCTGTTTTGAGTTTCAACTCCACAACTCCCGTCATAAATGAACTAATGAAGTCACAATCTAGAAAACAGGAATAATTCCATTGCTGCAAGTTTGTAATGAACCCAACAGACCAATGAGGTGTATAAACCCAATTCTAGTTAGTTGAAACCTAGCTTTATCAAGCTGAATCTAAACAAGGACAACCCAATATCCTTCATTGTTTAGTAATTTTGAATCTTGTGATTTGCCAGATTGTCCGTCAAATTTGAACTTGTTACTCTTTGTGTGTGTTGAGTTGTGAACTTATGTTGTGATTTGTTCATCAGTTTCGAACTGTGATGCTTTGTAGGACTGTTCAAAACCCAAACCAATCTGAACTGAACCATTCTGATAAAAACCAAACCATATATATATTGGTTCACGAACTGAACTGAAGTGATATTTCAAATACAGTTCAATAGCCTGAACACAAACTGAACTGCTATTCCACACATAGTTCAATAACCTGATATTTTTGCAATAGATGTGATGGAGACTTGGAATTATCAGTTCTGCGGGTTCTGTTTTGGTAGTCTGAATTTACGGTTCAAAATTTTTTGCATTTCTTTTTTGGAGTGGGGGTGAACAATTTGTTTTGCAAATAAACACTAGTTTGGTTCAAAAACTAATTTTTTGGTGCACCGAACCAGAAAAAACATTTCAGTTCAGTTTGGGTCAAATTGTGAATGATTTGGTTTAGTTTTACTGAACTGTTTGTTTTAACAGTTTGGTTTGGTTCAGTTTGGTTTCCTTCTTAAGCCAAACCATAAACAAGCCTAATGCTATGCTTGTATATACTAATCTTGGTGTAATTTGGTATCAATAACTTACTTTAACTGAATAGTTTGTGTTTGACTGAAATTTGTTTTTTTTTTAGAGAGAACCAATTGACTTAAATGTGTTTCTTAATGGTTTTATACAATGTCAATTAATTCTTCTGCTTAATTGAACTTTCATTTAATATATTTGGAAGGTATTGCTCATATTGTTAGTTTAATATTTTTCCATTTTACATATTTTGCCCAAAGAAACTTCTGATCCAAGGCATGATTATTTTCAGTTAATTCAATATTTCCATTTGTAATACATAAAGGAAGATAAAGTGTGTATAAATCCAATTATCATGGAAGCTCTATTGTAAGTAGCTATTAATTCACTTATGAAAACGACCAATATCTTTTTGTTGTAGCCATGTTTTTCTGAAACACTGTTTGGAGTCATTTGTATCTGACTTAGATAATATTGGATTGTTATTACGTCTAACAAGACTCCTATACTTGTTAATGTTGCCATAGTATATACCTTTTCATTCAACCACTAAAAGGAGTCATTTCTCTTTTCTACAGCTGGAAAGATTTCACGTCGTGTTTCTGTTGTCCATTACCATGATCCTAAAGAACTCGAAAAGATTAGTACAACTGATGCAAAAAAAGCACTTCTAAATTCTATAGCCGCGACTCCTGGAAATTTTTCACGTACGTCAGCATCAAAAAGTAGTAGTAGACTAAAGAGCTCATTATCTGAATTTTCTGAACGATCAAATACAAAAAGAAGAACCGGTGAGAACAAATCTAATGCAAGACCTCGTGAAGTAGCAAGTGGTTTTAACTCCGTCGCATCTGCAATCTCTTCTGATCATTCTCATGGAGGAAAGTCAAACGCTTCTGCAATGTCTTCTGATCATTCTCATGGAGGGAAGTCAAACGCTTCTGCAATGTCTTCTGATCATTCTCATGGAGGAAAGTCAAAGAGAAGTAAACATTCGGAGTAATGTTTCCTTCCCGCTTTAATATGAAAGTAATAGTACTTGTGCTATGTTACTTTTTCTGTATGTTTGCTTTTTCAACTGGTGTAACTCAGGATCATTTATTTTCACTGTTACCATTTTTGTGTAATACATGTGGTTAACGCAAATGGTCCATAGATATATCAAATAGGAGTATTCAATGAATCACTAATCACCAATTGAACTTTATAAACCATTATTTGTTATTAATCACAATCTCAGGTGTTAGAAATACAATTTTGTTTGCGCCATAAAATCGTTCTTAATCAAGTTCAAATTTCTATCGTAGTTGGTAAAATTTACGAGCTGAACATGCAATGATACAAATTGTTTTTCAATGCAAAAATGAAAAAAAAAAAGGTATTTTTTTCATCGGTTATTCAATTCAGTGCATGTATATCCCCTAGTATTCTTGCTATTCATAATGTTATTCATGAAAAGAGAGACAATACTAATATACAGAAACTGAATTTGCTGATTCCATCTGATTGGTAGTGCCTTCATCAAAGTGTCACACTTGGGTACTTGCAAGATCCATAACCTTCAAAAAGAAAAATTGTAGAATGTATGGATCAAAACTAATTTAAATTAACGATAAACTACTTTATTTAAGTCATTTGTAAATATAATACTTATTGACAAAACTAATTTTTAAGTCCTCATTTTTTAAATTGTAAAGTACTTTCAGAAACTAAAACAATTTTTTTAATATCTATGTCTAAGAAGGAAGTTTAAAACTTGAAAAATATAGTTGTATAAAGAATTAAAAAAAACTTACTTGGATCCTTTGCAGTTTGGGTGGCAAGACCGTTGAAATTACAAGTTCCACCCACATGTCTAAACTGTGCCCAATAAGAACTAAACGCAAAACTAGCATGACCCATCACTGAATCGGGTTTAAAACACGGTTTCCCGGGTTGAACCGAATCACATGTTTGGTTCCCTTGCAAACAAGCGTATGACAACGCCTCCACCACCGCGGTCTCATTTGCTCCCTCTGCCACCACGCACCACACCTTCCCTTTATAATCCTCTGCTGACGGCAATGTCTTAAACTCTGACTCTAGACTCTTGCCAGAAAGGTCAATCTCATAAATATTCGATCCATTTGGGTATAATAACCCGAAGTGACGCTCTGTCCCCGAACCTGGTTTCAAATTTTCATTAAACAAAGCAAATATAAATGCTGGTAGAACCGAACCCGGTCGAGCTGGTGTCCCCGTAGGAGGTTTTTTGGTAACTTTCTTCACAAAGTTTCTATTATATGTCGCAGCATTGTGAATATTCGCACCGATTTGATCCAAGTCACCACCATTAGGCCAACCCGTTTCAGCAATAAAGATCCGAATACCCGGAAATCCTAGCCGCTCCATTGCAAAATAAACCGCGTCCACCATTTGATCAAATAAATTAGTATAAACCAAACCCGTATTTGGATCCGTAACCGTGATATTATCCGATTCAAAAAGAGCATAATTCAAGTTAATATTAACAGGATCTGAAGTCCAAGCAAAAAACGGATAAACATCCAAGAAGAAAAAAGAGTTTGTAACATGTAAGAACTCCAACATGGGTTTAATAACACTAAACGCAATGTCATCTCTAAAAGTTCCATTTGAAGGTGGAAATGATGTTTGTAAAACATCCATTGCTGAAGTGGTTCCAACTTTGATTTTATGCAAACCAAATATAGTTAAGGAGTGTTTGATTCGGTGCATGGCTGGTACAATGTGAGGCCATGTTTCGTTTGATGTTGAGGAAATGAGTTCGTTACCAACGAGAAGATAACGAATGAGTGTTTTTGGATAAAATGGTACGAGGTTTGATTGGATCCATTGGTTTGAGAGTGTTTGGTTTAAGGATATGTTGGTAATGAGTTGATTAGGTAGCATGATTGATACTTGAAGTCCAGTGTTTTCGAGGGCTTTGAGGATTTCTGGATTTGCATCATAGATTTTGACACGTTTGGCTTTGAGGTTTTTGATGAGAGACACTGAGGTCGTTGGTGTTGGAAGATTGTTACCTAGTTGCCCATAGTTTACTCCAGGTTGTCCTGAAATTTCTCCACCTGTGGTGTCATGTTAGAAAATTGAGGTTAGAGAAAAACACTAGAGTCTGATAAATAAAACACAAAATTTGTGATATTGATTTATGTGAAGGGAAAGGGAGAAGTTACTTACTTGATGTGATGAATAAGGAGAAGATAAATAGAGAAATCAGAGCCATATCCATTGCTTTCATTGATACTTCGTTTCTTGGAGCTGCTCAAGCCAAGAGGTTATGTTTTGATACTTTAACTCAATCAAATAGCCTTAATTTTTGAGATGTGTAAAATATTGAATTGAAGGCAAAATTAGAGATTTAGATCATGATAACATGGTTGACACGTGAGAAGGTTAAGTCTTCAAGTCTTGATCATTTATTGCTATTGGAAATATCAAATATTTTATATTTGATTTAAAGTTGTTTTCTTATTGAATGGTCGTTGGAAATAATATTTATCATAGCCACATTTTTAATTATTATTTGATTGCAACTGATGAATTGTATGTATGTGGCTGCAGAAGTTTGACTTAAGAAGGGGATGATGGCAAATGGAATTGGAGTGCTTCTCTATGTTAAAGAATAATAATTAAATAACCATATGTTATAAAAAATAAGCAAAATTACACCGATGTCATTTATGTTATTTTATTTTAATAGGTTGATTATTTAAGTCATTTTTATAATAAATTATTTCTTTAGGTTATTTAACGTCTACATTGTTATTTTAAAAAAAAAAAATCAATTCCAAAAATGAATGTGGCATCAACCTATTGACACTAACGGTGTTAACATGAATTTTTTTAATGTTTAAATAATTATCTAAACTCAAACACACCATACTCAACAACATCTTCACCAAGAACATAGTACAACAAAACTCCATCAAACATAAACTCAAACAGACCATACTCATCACTTAGCTGACCAATTAATCAAAACAGCTGATAATAGAAGTTAGGGATGTAAATGAATGTCTACAAAGGTGGATAATATAATATCCATGTTCGTCTTGTTTGATAAATATGATATTCGTATCCGTTTCATATCTATGCGAGTATCTGTTAAATAGATATCAACATATTTTAAGGTACCCGATATTTAGAGATATTCATAAATAATATTTTTTTAAAAAAAATATTCGAAAAAGACAATTATTATCACATAACATTTATATAATTCAATCTCAATTTAACAATAAAATTTCATATATTAATTTTCTTCTTCTTCACCAAAATATAATAACATTCAAACATAATATTGATACATTTCATTTGTAACCAAATCAAATTAAAGATATTGTGATTTTGAATTATGGTGGAAGAGCGGACGACGAAGAAGTATGAAGAAAAATACAAGTTGGACGGAGGAAGGGTACTATTGATTGGTTAGACGGTAAAATTATTTTAGTAAGGTCTAGAGTATAGAAGAAACTTAAATATAAAACTGTCAAATAAATTTTGTATGGAATGTGAAAGGTTTTTCTATAAAAAAATTTATAAAAAAAATAGAGATATGTGAATACTAATTTTTTTTAAATGAAAAGAGAGTGTATAATAAACTAATGATATTTAAATAATTTTTATAATTTATTAATGGATGGATACGGATATATGTGAGAAACCTATATTTGTTTCCTACATATATCCGTATCCATCCATTAATAAATTATAAAAATTATTTAAATATTATTAGTTTATTATACACTCTTTTTTCATTTTAAAAAATTAGTATTCACATATCTCTATTTTTTTTTTATAAATTTAAAAAAAAAAAAAAACCTTTCTAGTTCCATACAAAACTTATTTGACCGTTTTACATTTAAAGCGTGATCAAGTAAAAAAAGGTGCATTTCTATACATCTAAAATTATGGTAATAGAATACTTTTTTTTTTCCAATTCTTAAAAGAAACAAAGAGAACCAAACTTTCTTCTTTCAAACACAAGATAGGTTTTTGACGTCATAAATTATTACAAATATTGATCTACATGTGTTGGAAACGTATTATAATTTTCAAATAATAACTGATAGTAATGCAAGATATGAAATTGAAGATACATTTCAAGATATGAAGATGTCTATCTAAATTATTGGAGAGCTAAAATGAAGCTACAAACCGTGAGTATAAATACCTGTAATTACATTGTTAGGATGGAACTACAAGGTATAAAACAGAGATTATGACTTGTTTGTAAATTGCATAAACATGATAATCAACTCATTTTCCTTGATAAAGGCAAGATGCACAACAAATTGTCAGAAAAGTTGAACATAGTCACAGCTATTTCTAAGAAATAACAACAAAATTTTAATTACATCATTTGGGTGATCAAAAGTTACACCTAGATTATATAAAGTGGAAAAAATGTGAACCGGCAAGTTGAACTACAAAGCAAAAATAGGCCATTAAAAGTATTCAACATGAAAAGGTTTTTTATAGAACTGCAGTAAAAGAGATGACGAAACCACACTAAGAGAAGATGCAGCCATGCAAGCACCAGCAAGCCAAGGTGGCAATCTGATTCCGGTAAACGGGTACAGAACACCAGCAGCAATTGGCATGCCTAAAATGTTGTAACCAAGAGCCCAAATGTAGTTCAGTCTGATACGAGACATGGTCTTTCTAGAGAGATCTATGGCTGTAATCACATCTACCAAATTGCTTTTGACCAAAACTATATCAGCTGCTTCTATAGCCACATCAGTTCCAGCACCTATAGCCATACCGACATCAGCAGCAACCAAAGCCGGAGAGTCATTTATTCCATCACCTACCATTGCCACAGTCATTCCTTTCATCTGTATCCAGTTTAATTGAAAAATCAGAAATCAGAAAGCGTTTGTATTTTTTTCAGATTATCAAGATGTGTCAATTATATTAGTTCATCATATCAAATTGAAAAGAAAAAAAAAACTGGTTATTGCATTGATTTTCATATAGCTGGCTCAGAAGCTTTACCTGCAATTCTTTCACCTTATCAGCTTTGCCTACTGGATCTGTCTCAGCAAAGACCTGGTCGATACCAACTTCATTTGCAATAGCAGTTGCAGTAGCATGGTTATCTCCGGTCACGATGACGCTTGTGATACCCATGGAGCGGAGAAATGATATAACACGTTTAGCCTCTGGCTTTACCGGATCAGATACGGAGAATGCTCCAGCAATCTTTCCATTAATTGAAACTAAAACACAAGTTCTAGCCAGGTTCTCGTTTTCAGAGATGTACTTTTCAGCCGCGGAAGATATTTTAACGTTACAAGCATTCATGAGTCTCCTGTTTCCAACTAAAACTGTTCTATCACCAACTTTTCCACTTACCCCGGCTCCCATGTGTACCTCAAAATCAACAACATCTGGCACTTCCTCAGGGCAAGAACCGAACTTCTTGCGAAGGTTTTTCGCATGCGCCACAACAGCTTTTGCTATCGGGTGTTCGCTACTTGCCTAAAAATGTTTACATATAATTAGCTTATTTATTATGGAGAAATGTTAATTAAGATATATAGATTGGAAAAGATGAGAATTGTTCTTGTTTTCCATTTCACTAAACATAATTGGAACCTGATTGTATATAGCTCTACCAATATTGTATTAGTCGAGTGCGGATAAAAAAACATGGTTGGGTGGAGAGACTACTTCAAAGGTTGCCAACCAGGTAATCCGACAAACATTCATAGGCAAAGTTGGTGGTTACTTTGTAACTATGATATGGTTAGTAAAAGAATATAGTTCTCTTTATAGCAGGATCTAGGGAGCTGTAAATATGTTTATATCTATCAGTGTTATTTGACATCTATTTGTAAGAGGCTGATTCCACTACTCGAACCACGGCAGCAATACGACCATTGCACCAAGGCTTTCATTCTCACACCATTAAACAAGTATGATATCAAAATCCAAGGACTGCACACTATTTAGAATTTTTTTCCTAAATCTCCTTAATGAATGACAAAGTACCTTTTTTCTTTGTTTTTCTTTATATTTATTTGGTAATACCTATTTTACAATAGAAGCACTTGAAATTAACCCCAGTAATTTTTTTAGTTTTGTGAAATTAAAACTAAATTTGATTTCTTTTTCTGCATTCTTCAAATCTTTCATGTTCTAAAAATGTTAATAAAAATAAGACTACATAAAATTCGCAGCTATCCAAATAAATACAGTATGCAACCTAAAAAAAATACCTCCACAGAAATTGCCATGTCACATAACACCTCCATAGAAAAGTCAGGAAACAGCACCGCACTAACTACTGCTGGCTTCCCAACTGTTAGTGTCCCAGTCTTATCAAATACAATAGTCTTTACCTGCATTGAAGATTAAAACAATGAATAGGATTTTATTTTAATAAAACACGGTGAAATTTAGAAATGTGTTGCAGATTAGTATCAATTAAACACTACTAGATTATGCACAACATGAATGTCTTAGATACAATGAAAAGTGAAACAGAGCAATCTTAGCACCCCAAAAAATATTATGGCTTTGACGGCGATTTTAATGGAAATTGCACAAATAGCACCAAAAATTTTGAATGTTGTTTACCCTTCAATATCTGGTCATTATGGTTCAAACATTTAAATCCTGATAAACAAAACTAGAGGGAAAGGTTCACATGTTGTGTTAAAATTATAAAATTTACAAACTTTGAATTAGTATATTCTCCTAATGTAAGAACAATTTACATAAAACTGAAGATATGAAGCAACTGGAAATTGAAGTATCGTTACCTTGTGTGCCTTCTCCAGTGCATCTCCACCTTTGATGAGCACTCCTTGAGAAGCACCTATGCCTGAAGCCACCATGACTGCAGTTGGTGTAGCTAGACCCAAAGCACATGGGCAAGCAACAACTAACACAGAAATTGCAAACTGCAAAGCAAGCTCAAATGCATCCATTCCTTTTGGTATCCAATGTTTAGGGTAAAAACCTACTTCCCCAGGAATGAGCCACCCCAGCCAAGTTGTGAGTGCTATAACAACCACCTAAGAATGCAACCGCAGAGTAAGCATCATCACGGGGATAATATATTGTAACTATCATTGCAATACAGACAAAAAGATGGCACGAAACAGGAAAGTTCATTGCAGAACAAATGACATATGTCATGTCTTGAAATGCTTTTACATGAACCAGAATTCCTATAACCCAAAACTGAAATGATTATATTCATGCCACATGCAAGATAAAAATAATTAAAACACAACCCAGTTATGAAAAGTTATGTCATGAGCCAAAGTTCCTAATTTCCCATAAGAAAATTCCCTCCCAATACATGCTTATCACCTAAGTAGTTTGTTCTCCATAATCATACATATAGTTAGAGGGAATCAACAGTGACAATAATCAGAGGTTACCAATGGCGGTGGTGTTTAGATACCATTGGCAAAGCCATTGCAGGTGCCAACAACAATGTTAGTTGGACTTTGCCAACAACAGTGGTTTCTTAAATTTATAGGCAACAAGACAAAGACAATAATCAAGAATAAAATACGAAGTATCGGTTTTTAACTTTTAGCTTTGACACTTGGAACTTCAATTCATAGGGTCGTAGTTCGGATCAAATATATAAAAAATTATAAGTGAACTGATTGTTTTTCAGTTCCATGGAATTGGAACAGCAATTCTCGGTTACACTAAGACAACTGTTGTGTCATGTGTGGCATAATTAACGGGATTTCACTCTATTTATTATTTATAGATAAATTTATCACCATAGTTTCTAGTAATAAGGACTGATTTGATTTAAAACCCAGTTCTTTTGCTCTCTTTCAAATGAGGCCAAACAAGATAGTAGGAATTGCAAGGTCCAATTCCAATGCTTAATTTCAAATCCAACTCCACGTATCAACCAACACAGAAAAGTATAGTTAAGAAAAACACTCACAATTGGAACAAAAACCCTTGAAATATCGTCCGCGAGTTTTTGAACTGGTGCTTTGGCAAGTTGAGCAGCTTCTACGAGTTGAACAATTTGAGAAAGGGCAGTGTCTGATCCAACATGTGTAGCCTTAACCAACAAGCAGCCATTCTCATTAATTGTTCCACTGATAACCTGTTAAACACATTTTGAAAAATTAAAAATGTTCTCAGCACTCTATCATGCTACCTTTACATAATTTAAACCACCAGAACTAGGATTTTTTAGAGATTCTACACATTTCCCTAGATCCCCCTTCCCAAGAAAAAAAGAGAGGAAGATGTCAATCCAATGTGTCTCTCTCTGTTCGCAGTACATCACAGACTACAGTCACTCCACTTTTTGGTTACACCTTTTTGGTTTACAGTTTAGGCGTTTGGTCACTCCCAATCCTATCTTTCATAGAAATATTACACATACCTTCATTAATGTGTTTGCCATTAATTTGTTGGATTTCTCCTGATCTGCTAATTCGTAATTAAAAAATACAAGTCAAGGGTCCTAAAGCGTGTATAGTACCTTGTCTCCTGGACTTTTGGCAATCGGTCTTGCCTCTCCTGTGATCATACTTTCATTTGCATAACTTTGCCCTTTTATAACAATACCATCAATAGGAATTTTAGCCCCAGGCACAATCTTAATTATGTCATTCTTTTGAATAAGTTGAGTGTCAATTTCTGTCTCTGTGATGATGTTTGCATCAGTGTCAATTACTACTAAATAAGCTTTATCAGGAACAAGTTGTGTTAGCTTTCCTAAAGCATCTGATGTTTTCCCTTTAGCCACAATCTCCAAATATTTTCCTAATAGAATAAAGGAAATTAACATGGAACTGGTCTCAAAGAAATCTTGTCCTTGAAATGTATCTGAAGTCAGCGCTTTTATTACAATATATAATGAGTAAAAATAAGCAGCATTAGTGCCTAACGCAACCAGCACATCCATGTTAGCAGACCTTCTCCTGAGTGCATGATATGATCCCACATAGAACCTAATAATAGTAATAACAATAGCCATTGTAAAACAATTGTACAAACATCTATCTATAGAAAAAAGATACATATTAAACCATCTTATCGCTAATAATTAATCATAATGGTAACACAAAACTAGGACTAAAGTCAGTAAACAGTTTTTCATATAATAATTGTACCTTTTTCCAACTATGAACTGCACAGGTGTGCTGAGGATCCATCTTAAAAACAACCCAAGAGTAAGCATATTATGAAGCTTATAGTTCAACCAGTTTCCATATGGAGGAAGCATGGGAAGCACCATGGCAAACACAAACACAGGTACAGAAAATAAGCAGCTGAACAAAAACTGATTTCTGTACACGCGAATTTCATTCACTTTATCCCTTTCTCTTTGTCCCGATGGAGAGTACAAAGTTGCTTGATACACCTTGGAGCCACGGCTAGCTTCCTGAACACAAAGAATTAGAGTTCTCGGACCTGTAATATCGGGAACATAGCTAATCGTAACTATATGTTCTGTAAAGTCCATTTCAACACGATTCACACCTGCCGCTAACTCAAGGTAAGACAATAACACATCAGCATCTTCTTTAGAATCAATCCCTTCGAGTTTTAGATGAACTTTGTTAGCGTCATGCCCAGAACTAATAAGTTCTCCTCCAAAGCCTGCATCTTCTATAGCTTCAATTATTTTTTCAGGATCGACAAGGCTAGGGTCATAATGCACTTTTGCCTCCTCTAAAGCTAAACCAACTATTGCCCTTTTCACTCCATCAACCATTTGAAGTGCTTTCTCAACAGACTCAGAACAGCTTGTACACGCCATTCCTTTAATCCTGATTCGGCACACCGATATGTCTTGGTCGTGATCATGAACCTCATTAACCTTAAACCCACTCTCTTCTATACTTTCTTTTATTCTTTTTGCCTACATTAAAAAATAATTCATTACCTTAACATGAATTCATATTTCAGTTCAAAAACCTTCATGTAACATAAATGCTAGATATGCCTATGTGAACAATCTGTTATCTATATTAAAACAGACTCCCTAACAGATCGTCATATTTTTTGCCATGTTACACAATTTTTCAATATGCTTATGTGTCTCTCTCCATATTACATTGTCACTATTCTCTTCTTCTTATTTTTTCCTTGGCAATAGTCCTTTAACCAAAACCAAATGTTAATCATGAAATTCATACAATAATAATATAGGTTAAATATATATTCGTCCCTATAAAATTTTAACATTTCGGTTTTAGTCCTAGGTAAGATTTATTTCTTTTTTACTTTTAATTCCTACAAAACTATGTTTGCATGCATTTTATTTTCCGTTTAGTAGCTTGATGGCCATAATAATTTCATCCCTTAAAAGTGAATAAGTAAGATATATATTCAACGCTCTACAATCAAAAGTCCCTTTCCCTACCAACTTTGCAAGCATTTTTATTCATTACTAAAACAAAACATGTTAAATTACATATACATTTTTTATAGTCAAAACCTCAAAATAAAATCAACAATAAGTTTGGACATAGAAATCAAATTTTGACTATTTTTTATTCAATTTTTTTTTAATAATATTCAAATTGCAAAAGAAAAAAAAAAAACATTCAAAAATTTAAGTCTACTAAACAGGGAATAAACTACTCACATAATAATTTTCCCTGAACTACAAGTAAAATATCCAAATTTTACTAGGAATAAAAGCATATTATATATGTAACAATAATAGTAATAAATAATAATAATAATAATAAACAATAATCATAACAATAATAATACTGATGATGATGATTGTGTGGCTTACAGTTATGAGTTTGGGAACGAATTTGATGGCCGCACGGCCGTCAAGTGAAGAAACTGCAATATTTTTAACGCCGTTAAGATTCGCAAGCGCCGATTCAATAGAATTAACACAGGAAGCGCACTTAATATCGCTAATTTGGAACGTAACCGTCCGAACGACGACGTTTTCTTCTGTAGATTGCAACAGAGGAATCTTCACATCGTCAACTCCGTCACGTTCCATATTCCAATCGAATCGAAGAGAAACAATTGAAAGAGATGACGAATTGAGAATTTGGAGCGAAAGAGAAAATAGGTTTTGGAGTCGAACGTGAAGAAGAAGAGGGAGAAATTTTTGTTTATGTAGGGTTTTTAGCTACGGATGTAACGAGAAGAGAGATAATGGAGAGTACGTGACTGCGTGCGTCAGTTTGGTTTTGGAATGAAGCTGGAATCGTGGTTTAAACTTTTGAATTGGTAACGACTTGTCACTTGTGACTTTCTTTCCCACCAAAAGTGGTCACTTTACCGATTCTGCCCCTTTATTCCTTTATGCTGGTGGGTGTGGTTGATGCTGTACGAATACAGGGGCTTATTCGGTATTTTGATTGATTTTTTTATCGTTAGAGGAGTTGAAATTTATATTTTTTTTCTTATTAGCTTGTATTAACTTTTTCAAACACTTAATTTTTAGTAAAAAGAAAAATTAATTAAAATGTGATATACTCGATGAAGAATAATATGACGACACTTGATCGGAAAAAAAGAATAATATGACAAGAGTTTTATCAAAGCTAGTTTAGAAAATAGTAAGGCATTCCGTTTTATGGAAACAATAACTCATAAAAGGTAAATATTCTTTTTTTTTAACTCGTATTATGTTGGAATAATGTTTGCAACTCCCGCATTATAATGTACACAAAATTTTAGAAGTTTTTCAGTTTTTTAAAGAAAATTAAATTAAGATTTCAATTTACAGATATATAATGAAGTTTTGGAAAAAAAATTAAATTATATTTAATGGTAGCGTGATTCACTTAATAATGGCATTTGTCATTTAAAAATAGAGAATCTAATAAATGTCTAATTTTTTAAAATAAAATATTTGCTGAGAAATCGCAGTTGTTCATGGAATAATGAAATATAATTTTTTATTGACAGAGTGAGGGTTGACTTGTAAGTTCAGCAATCTAACATTCAAATTAATGAGGAAATAAAAAGTGGGGAAATAGTGAGAATGAATTTGAATATGTAAGAATGATGCACTTTATCTCTCACTCCTTCTCTTATAAAGTCGAAGCAATTTGAACCAAAAAAGGAGAATGTGACGTGGATCTCGGTCAGTTGTCAGATTGATTAGGACGATTGGTAACACTTCAGAGGCGAAATTAACTACCATCGAGGAGGGAGATGATCACATGTTTCTTGCATGTGTTTCCTTGCTCCAACTACGAGCCTTTCGTCTTACGCCTTGTGAGTTACTAAAAATAATTACCCTTCAAGCCATTGTCCTTTCTATGCAAAAGGAGGGTTTATTATATACGTCCTGGACCGAGTGATTGACATAAGGAGATGAAAAGCCCTTATTGGACATCACTATTATTAGCAACGAGCATATTAAATTTCTTTTTTTGTAATAACGTTTCAGGAGGAACAACTGACATGCGTCTTTGAGCTAGTTGGTAATGTTGTTTCCTCTTTCTTAGTGTAGTTGTATACTTTGCACAACCTTTGATGAAATCTCGATTGTTGGCTGTGCAATGTGGATCGTACGATCCTCGGTGTTAGAGGCACATATAAAAGATCTTTGAAACATCATTTTTCCTTTTTCTGCCATTTGTGACCTATAAAAGATCTTTTTTCTATCTTGCCAACTTCGTTCTTTCTAGAAAGATCTTCTATTTTAGCTTCTTGGTTAAGCTCATATGTGATATTCGTTCGGTGGCCTTTGATACTCACAGATAACCAACATATTTCTTTTAAGGTAAAACGAACGTCTTATTCTTACTTTCACTTCATTTTTAGAGTTTTTAGGGCAGTGGGTTTTTGATCTCTTGGTCGTTTGAATTCTTGTTGGTTACGTGTTCGACCAAAGTGTTGACTTTTCAAAATTTCCTTTTCTATTTTGGCGGTGTTTTTTAGAATGGACATTCCACCTACCACGTGTTGCAAGGAAAAAAGTATATTTCTTTAGTATGGGTGGATCAAAAGACCTTGGATGCAACCTTTACTTTTGCCTCAAAGGGTTGTTTGGAATGAGTCTTTAATGAGGTGGGTCCCAGTTTGACTGGGGAGTGCTTATCCATGAGAAAAACACAAGAGGGTGTGTAATAAGTATGATGGTGTGGTACCTTTCTTCATGTGTGATTGTTCTCTTTAATAGGTTTATGTCTCCCCTTCAACGCATTTGATGTTGGAATTTTCAATCACTAGGTAATCCCCCATTCTCAACTACACCATTAAGTTGAACTTACATTAAAGTATTTAAATACTGGTGTGAATACAAGGGGCTGACCATGACACCTATTTTCCATCTTTTTTAGGTTCAGTGTAGCATTTTTGCTTCAGCGAGGGGTCATGCATGACTTTATATCTTTACACTAGTGTCCCATGAGGTTTGAAATCTATTTAGATAGCGTGAAACACTTCAATGATCGTAATCGTACCTGATTAGAAGAGATTGTCGACTGCTACACGTCACTGATCTGGAAGCTGCTCACTTTTGGTTGGGAGGAGGGGGGTGTACCTGCAAGACACTTTAATGCTTAAGTGAGTAAAGGATCAGGGTGGAAGCAAATACATAAGTGATGTGTAGAGAATTGAATACCTATTGTTCTGCCTGACGGGGGGAAGAAGTCTGCTCGGTGTGTCTAGAACCGTGCCCGACACTAGGGGATTTAAGCCTTCCTCCAAATAGCGTGGGCTGGGCTTGCCCGACGGATGGGTAGGTCTAGGACTACTCTAGAACAAATTGTTTCTTGTTTATCATTCCTCTAAATGAAAAGGCTCACGATAAAATTTTCCCCATAGATCTTAAGCTACCCACCAATGCTTTGATAAATTTGATAAGTTTTGGTGCCATAGGCATTTCCTAAGGATTTTGGATCCTATATTTACAAGATGTACAATTTAATTCAAGAGGACATCCATTTAAAGATATATTCAGTGTCCTTCTGAGAGCCTATAAGTTAAGCGGGGTGTGTTACCCCTTCTAATGTATTGTTGAAGAAATAATTAAGGCGACTCATAAAGACGCACCAACCTATCGGGGTGGAAATAAGCTATGCTAGACTGGGCTTTAGAATGAATGAACATGTCCTACGATAAACTTACAAGGTCTGAGCCTGACCTATGGCCTACTATAAGCTCTTTTTTTGGCCTGGCAATGACCTTTTTAAAAGCCTGACATGACCTGAAAGCATATTTAAAAGCCTGTTTCTTATTAAGTTTTCAGTTAATCCATATTACTTAATAAATCTTATACGTAGGTCTATATATGCATATATAGACCGACCTATTTAGCATTTTTTCTAATATATATATATATATATATAGGTCATCCTATTTAGACTATGTTTAATAAATATGAAAATATAGGCCGACTTACAAGACTTCATATATTTTTTTAATAGCCTAAGTTTGACCTATTTAATTAAATAGGATTTTAAAAAAGTTTAAGCCGATTTTTTTTATTAAATAGGTCTGGCCTAGCTTGACCTTAAATAGGCTAAGTTATAGGCCCATGTAGGTCGACCTACCTATTCCCATCCCTTATGAAAGCTGACTCTAAAAAAGCTAGAAAAAATATTTTTGGTAAGTGATATAGAAAATGTCCTCTTATTTGTATTTTGCTTTGTGATCCCTCCCGTAACCCACTTATTCTTTTACTGTAGATAGGATCAAATGTGATAGGACAATACATCAAATGAAAGAGATCGCCTGGGCAATTCCCTACCCATTCACCGTTACCAATGTTGTGGTTTGAGGTGCGCCTACTTTGGAACATGTGGAGGTCTAAGATTCATTGGATCGTGTCATGGTGGAAAATGCATTGGGCTCATTATGACCCGACGATGGAAGAGACTTGAGGCCTAGCCTTAATCTTGAAGAGACTTGAGGTTTGTTGGGGGTTGTTAGTCGGCTTCATTAGAGTTGTCTCTTGCACAGAGAAAAACCCACATCTGATATGAATCTAAGGTGCCTTAACCAACCTCAGTATATAATGGATCATGCGTATATAAAGGTGTAATTTAAAATTCATTCTAAAACATATATTACTTCTCATTCTTTCAATGACTTAGGCATTAAAGTGTTAGCCTTGTAGTTCTGCCCATTCGCCATTGTACTGAAAGCCCAATCTCATTGCAACAAGACTTTTTATCGTCAAATAACCAATCATATTCAATTTTAAACATAAAAGTTACGTTGTTTGTGAAAACTCAAAGTTCGTATCATTGCCCCATTACTTAGCCTAGATCGAAGGATAATTGTTCCAGAGTTATTAAAATAGTAACGTATTGTTTGCGAATAGAGATTAAGAATATTTTATATTTAATAATCATACACTTTAATCCAACGTGACGTCTTTTCTATGAAAAATTTCACATCCATAACAGACAATATCTCGCAATGGTACGAAGGTTAACCAAAACAAGTCTATTAAGTCATTTTACTAACTATAATTAATAAAATATTTTAATAAATGATAATTTTTTATTTCTTTTTTTTTTCCTTTTGTAAAATAATTTTTATTTATATTTTAGCCGTTGTTTTAAAAATTCAATTCAGTTATTGATTTGTCAATAATATTTTTAGTTATTTTTATAAAAAAAACAATTAGGATATTGATAGCATAAAGTTAGATTGTTTCAGTTTTTTTAAAATAATGATGTTAGCATAAAGTTTTTTATTAATTGTTTCTTAAAAGTTTTTAAATAAAAAATTAGTTTAATTTTTTTATAAATTATTATTTAAGGTATTTCTTTATTTTGTTATAATTTTTTTTTAGATTTTAAAATTTCAAAAAATCATTTAAAAATAAAATTATTTAAAATATTTTTAAATATATTTAAAAAAATATTATATGATTTTGACTATATTTTAATATATAATAATGTATATTTACAGAATTTAAAATAAATTTTTAGTTTATAAAAGATAGTTTAAAATAATTTCAACTACTATTTTTTATTTATTTATAAAAATCATTAAAAAATTACACATAATTAAATTATGACACTTTATTAGAGTGATTGAGGTTAGAGTATTTTATAACCGGTGGCCTGCAATAAAAACAAACAGTAAACCCGACCCGGTCGAACCTCATTTCGATGCAATTTATAACTGAATCCAAATCAAAGACTCCACTGAATGACTTCCGTAAAAAAAAAACATCTCAGCTACACGATGAAGCCATTTTCAATTTTCCTCATCTTCACCATCTTCGTCATTGCTTCCGCATTAGGTATTGTTCTTCACGATTCATTGTTTCCATTCTCCACTTTTCACATCACACTATTTCCTCTTTATATGTTATTCATTTCGATCTAGATTTTTTCAGATCTAGTTAATTTTTTTCCTCAGTTCATCAGTTTCTACGATTTTTTTTTTAATTTTTTAGTTTTGATTTATGATGTTGTGTTTTTTTCGTTTGCGTGTGTCAGTTGCTGCGAAGAATGTTGCTGATGTAACGGAGTTGCAGATTGGCGTTAAGGTGTGTTGTGATTCCCTTTAATTTATTCAATTTTTTTAAAATTATTACCGATTTTGATGTGTCAGTCATGATTTTAAATGCGGCTGTTGCGATTGCGGTCGATGCACATTGCGGCCGTTGCAATGTGAAATGTAATCGAGAGGTGTTGGAAATTCAAATGTTAAGATTTTTCGTTACAACTGAAGTAAATTGAGTTTTTGGCTTATGAAATTTTGAGATTTTATGAAAATACTTCAAAAAAAATATGGGTGAAATTTTCTGATGTGGTCCGATGCATGATCTTAAATCACACTGCAATTGGGTTAGAAAGAGTATTTGCAAACTTGTAAATTTTATGAAAGACAACTCCTTAGACATTTGTGATATGCGTCTTTCTCTTTGTAACCTGATTTGTGTTTTGTATGGTAAAAAGCCTCGCTTCTAGTAAAACGGCTACTAAATGTTGGTAATTTGTTGTTGAGATTAGAACAAGGGGACATAAGAAATCATGCTCTTTCCCTTCCTATGATGCAAGTGTGTTACAGTGAAAACGGGTTTATGTCCTCTTTATTGCTCACTATTTATACTCTTTGTCGTTGCAGTATAAACCAGCATCATGTGAAGTTCAGGCACACAAAGGTGATAAAGTGAAAGTACACTACCGGGTGAGTAATTTCGTATGAAGTTATGATATCTTACATGAAAAGCTTAAGTAGTAGTAACCTGAAGGGATTGTTTGGGAGAGGGGAAGGATCAAAGAACCAAAAGAAAATGAAGGGAATGGAAGGGAAGATGAGAGATTAAGTAGTAGGTAACTAATAAGTTTGCTTTATTCTAAGACCATCCAGATTGGAGAAACATCAAAATGTTCATGAAATTTAATGAGGGAAGGCATTGGTCTTTGGAGTAAAAAGGTAAGGCACCTGTATATACATACTCACAATCACAACCGGAAGTCACCTAGAGCCATTTTGATGCAGGATTAATTGTGTAGCCTACATTCTGTTGACATCAATCCATTATTTCGTGTTGTCAGCCACATGCTTTGAGTAATTTTGCTATTACTTTTACAACCATTTAATTTGTTTTTGTGATGACTGGTGAGGGGTCATGCATTCACTTAATTTTTGTCTATCATGTTCCTACAAATTGAATATTCAGTTGTCCTTTGCAGGGAAAACTCACCGATGGAACTGTATTTGATTCTAGTTTTGAAAGAAACAATCCAATTGATTTTGAGCTTGGTGGTGGTCAAGTGATCAAAGGTAAACCCACAGCCACAAATAACTCTAGTTTTTCTGAATTTCCGGTTTCATTACCAATTTCAGGGATATGTGCTGGCTTTCTAATTGATGCATATATTATCACGAGATCTTATCTAACTGAAATAGTCCAAAAATTACTTTGGTAATTAAAGCCTATAAAAATTCCTTAAGAATTACATTGAAGTACCAGTCCCATACAAACACAAAAATAGTAAGTAAATTGAAATGACAGACTAATCTAATGGGAAGTGATACTTAATGATTTGAACTATTCATATAGAATAATACACCCATATTTCTTCAGATTTTATGTTCTTATCATTTAAGTTTTCTGGCCACCCGATACCCGTGCTATAGTTTCTAGTCATAACATGAATAGGTGTATTTACGTAATGATGCAAGCATGTAAGAATTAGTTTTATTACAAAGTTCTGGTTTATGATGGGAGATCTTCAAGTTGTTCCTCCTCTTTGCAGGATGGGACCAAGGATTATTGGGAATGTGTCTTGGTGAGAAGCGAAAACTGAAAATCCCAGCAAAACTTGGCTATGGAGAACAGGGTTCCCCACCAACTATTCCAGGTAAATTTTCACGTTGATAATGATAATAATGCTCAAGAGCCAAAAACCTCTTTCATATTACAAGATATAGTTAAATTATTATGATACAGCTAGAAAATCTGGTTGCCATGCTTATATATATGACATTGAGTTGAACCTACAGGTGGTGCAACACTTATATTTGACACTGAGCTTGTGGGAGTGAATGACAAAAGCTTAAACGAAGAAAAACCAACCTCCTCTGAACTTTAGACAAATCAACTAGACTATTGGCAATCTTCGATAGCTTACTTTTGTTTCTTAATAATGCTTTCAACACCAAGGTTTCGTTGTGTAACCTTTAAGTGAAGCTAGTTTAGAAAGATTTTGCTGCTGTACCCTGTACCCTATAACTTAAATACATCTATTTGGTATTTTTCTGGCTCTCCTGAGAATTTTCATTCGCTTCCTGTCTATTAATTTCTTGCAATTCAGTTGGTTTAAGTTTTACGGTAATCCTTATAATATGTTCAACAATGCGAACACAATAGATACAAAGTATTATTTGGGGTCCATACTTTACAATTTTAGTATTAACTCTTTGACTTAAATATTCGTTTTATTATACATTATATTTTATTAAAAATTCGTTTTGATCTTTGATATTTTTTTTTTTGTTTTGGTTTATTATGAAGTATTTTTTAATTGTTGAATGTGTCTAAGTTTTTAGAAAATATTATTTATGAGAAATGAGAATTGGACATATTTTTGCAAGTGTTGATTTAAAGGATGAGAAATGTTCCTCTTATGTCCGAATTTCACTTTTCATCAGGATGGAGGCATTAGGATAATCCTATTGATTGCAATTTTCTTCAAATTCTGGAGAAAAGTATGGAAAAAAAAAGGTTTGAATGGTACTCAAAGGAAAGAGTCTTATACTTGATTATATTTGTTTTAATGATGTCAAAATATATATAGTTAGAAAAATATATTTTGGACGGTATTATTGAGTCGCATATGTATCCGTTATTTTGTTAGTGTCAAACAGTTGTCAAAATGTGTCTTAGTTTATATAGGAAAAATATTATATGTGTTCTATATGAGTTTAATCATGTTGGTTGTGTTAGAAATGCAAGGAGCACTTATAAGTAGTTAGACATATCAAAATCTACATTTTTGCAAGTTCTAAGTCTTTGAGTCGACTCAAAACTTGCTTAGGTCGACTCAAAGCTTGCTTAGGTCGACTCATGCAGAAGTTAATTTTCATATTTTGCTTTCAAGAGAGCTCGGGTCGACCCTCCGGTCGACTCATACTGTGTGCATTTATGTTTGTCAAAACTAGGTTGCTTTGCGTCGACGCATGGACCTGTTCCGGTCAACGCAAATAACGTGTTTCTGCGTAATCTTGAATTTGGGAGAGCTCAGGTCGACCCCCCTTTGTTTTAGGTCGACCGCTCGCTCGTTTCTCATAATTTTTTTGTTATGTTTACCATTCAAAGTGACTGTTATGTTGATTATTTGGTTATAGCTTTGCATCCATATTGAGTTAGCACATTCTACACAAAATAACAAGAAAAGTAAAAATATACACTGGTTTGATTCTCATCATCTCCATCCTCTTTCTTACATATTCTCAACAACTACACATAATCATTTTTGTTGTGCATTCTGCATCATCGAGGTGATAACGTCCAAACATAGGATCGGTGTATCTGGTTTGGGTTGAGAAATTAGTGAGTTTTTCTTGAATAAAACCTTTAGGGTTTTGTCCTCCAAGAATCTTGAATTTTGGGGGTTTTGCACAAATTGTTCTTTCACAGATTCAGCCGAGCGAAGGTAATTGAAGAACAGGAGGTTCTGTCGATTTAGTAGTGTTAACCGGAGGATTGTGGAAGGATGGTTTGAGTTCAAATTGTTGGTGTTTGAAATCAGTCGGACAAGATTTGAAGACCAGAAGGTTGTTCAAATGTGGTGTTGTAACCAGAGGTTTACTCATTACATTCGAAGGACTTGATTCATCTTGAATCAAGGGAAGAGAAAGCATATGATCAACATCAATGTTTGGGATTGGGTGTTTGAGTTTTATTGCTTCTCTTGTAAAAAAAAATTGCAACAAGTTATATATACAGGTCTCAATTTTATTTTTAGAATTGAGGGCAGACGTACCCCGAGCGAGGACGACGGGGGAACTGCCTCAACAAATTAGTGTTCTCTCTTTTTATTATTTTTATTGTTGAATTTTAAAAACCTCATTACAGTCCGTTTGATTGTAATCGAAAAAGCTTAGCACTTCATTCACTTATTGAATCTTACTTGGGGTGCTTCGCACACCAAGTGTTCGACTAATTGCGTGAATACAAACATTTGAGCTGTTTTTCAATTTGGTTTATATTTCAGAAGCATTGGAAATTGTCAAACTTTGAGTGAACAAAATCTTATTGATTCGTGTTCAAACTATTGATTCAATTTCTCGTCTTTATCGGTATTCCGTATAGGCGTAGCGTATATCCGGTCTTTTTGGTAACGGTTTGTTTAGACGATTATAGTTCTTCGACCGCTTTCGCTTAAAACTTTTAAAAACTAAATTATACTAAGCGCCGACTCTATTTTAAATAAGTGATATATTCAACTCCTCCCCTCAAATAAACAAATTTTTACTCATTTGAAAAAAAAGATTTTCGCTTCCGAAAGGGAATTGGAGGCTCTCAAGGCATCCATGGTGGAAGTAACAAAGGTAGATATAGAGGAAGAAAGAAGTAGATGGGTAAACTTTGGGTGTTATACTTGTCATATTTGAAAAAAGGAGGTTAGAACTCTTAAAGGCAAGCTTGACAAGGGTCTAGAACCAAAGACCATTTTTGCTATTGATAGATCACACTTTAGAAAAAGCATGATTAATCCTTATCAAAAATATACATATGTGATAAAAAAAATTAAGGTAACAAAAGTGATACAAAGGTTAACCTCACTTGCTTGTATTGTTGCAAAATGGGTCATACCATTTCTAAATGTTGCTTTAGGAGATTTTTAGTTTATAAAGGAGTTTATCAATGGTTGCCTAAATACAACCAAGATTTCACTCGCAACCAAGTACCCAATAAACAATTGGGTACCTATTTTCGTTGATTGTTTTTATATGTATAAAGTCATGAGCTTACGAGTAGAAGATGGGTTCTCGATAGTGGATGCTCAAAACATATGACATGAGACATATCTCTCTTCATTGACTTTGTGGCAAAAAAGAAGGGATTTGTAACCTATGGAGACAACAACAAGGGAGCAATACTTGGAAAAGGTAGTGTAGGTAATCCCTCGTCTACTACTATCTCTGATATATTGCTAGTTGAGGGTCTTAAATACAATCTCATAAGCATTAGTCAATTATGTGACAAGGGACACAAAGTATCTTTTTCAAAGGAGTGTTGCATGATTGAAAATAATGATAAAAGGGGATGTGTTTAATGTCTTGAGGGTAAATAATGTGCATATGTTGGATTTGAGTGAAGTATCATTGAGTAGCGACAAATGTCTCGTCACTATGAGTGAAGACTCATGGTTGTGGCATAAATGTTTGGCGCATGTCAATTTTGACTTGCTAAACAAGATAGTTTCTAAGGACCTAGTGATTGGCTTACCCAAAATCAAGTTTTCAAAGGATCACTTATGTGATGCATGCCAAATAGGGAAGCAAACAAGGATCTTGTTTAAATCTAAAAACGTTGTTTCAACTACGAGATCTCTTGAACTTCTTCATATAGACCTCTTTGGACCATCTAGAATTAAGTGTCTAGGTGGTAACAACTATGGTTTTGTTATAGTCGATGATTTCTCTAAGTTTTGTTGGACTATCTTCTTGGCTAGCAAGAGCGATACTTTCTCCGCCTTTGAAAAATTTGCTAAACTTTCTCAAAACAAGTTGAACACAAACATTATATCAGTTAGAAGTGATCATAGAGGTGAGTTTGAAAATCGTCTCTTTGAAGAATATTGTGGTAGACATGAAATTGGTCATAATTTTTTAGCTTTGCGTACCCCTCAACAAAACGGGATTGTGGAACGTAAAAATCAAATTTTGGAAGAGTTAAGAAGAACTATGATCAATGAAAGTGGTCTTCCTAAATATCTTTGGGCCAATGTCATTAGTACGACTTGTTATGTTTTGAATAGGGTGTTCATCCGTCTTATTCCTAACAAAACTCTGTATGAATTTTTGAAAGGGAGAAAGCCAAATGCGTCTCACCTTCATGTTTTCGGTTGTTAGTGTTTTGTGTTGAACAATGGTAAGGAGGGTCTTGGTAAATTTGACTCCAAGGCAGATGAAGGTGTCTTTCTTGGATACTCTCAGTCAAGTAAAGCATATAGAATATATAATAAGAGGTTACTTATTGTTGAAGAATTTGTTCATGGAACTTTTGATAAAACTTATTTGAAAAGTGTCAGAAAATGTATTTTGTTTCATGGTGCATTTGTATCTTCTGAATATATACTCAAAGACACTGAGAAAGTAATTAATAAACCTGAATCAATGAAAGTTAAGGAGAAAAAATATCACCATCATGAGGAGATTGAGGAGGTTCATCCTACTAACATCGATGGCCTTCCTCCAACTTGGAAGTCTTCTAAAGACCATCCTATCGACAACATTCTCGGTGACATCTCAAAGGGAGTGAGCACAAGATTTAAGCTATGTAACTTTTGTTATCACTTTGCTTTCATCTCTCAATTTGAGCCTTAAAACCCTAAAGAGGCATTACTCGATGTACATTGGTTCTTATCAATGCAAGAGAAACTAAATCAGTTTAAAAGAAATGAGGTTGGGTCCCTCCTCCGCAAGGCCATCGAGTAATTAGCACCTGATAGGTGTTTAGGAATAAACTGGACGAAAATGGAGTTATAACACGTAACAAGGTACGCTTAGTTGCACAAGGGTATAACCAAGAGGAGGGAATCGCCTATGAGAAAACTTATGTGCCGATTGCCCGACTCAAGGCTATACGCCTTTTGCTTGCTTATGCATGTGTGAAAAATTTCAAATGGATGTAAAAAGTGTTTTCCTCAATGGATATATCAATGAAGAGGTTTATGTATCCCAACCTCCTAGGTTTGAATCCCATGAGTATCCTGATCATGTCTACAAGTTAAAATGTAACTCACTACTTCGATTTTGCAGGTACATGACAATGCGTCTAGGTTTGCAAAATGTTAATTTTAATTATTCAAGCCATTCTACAGTATTGAAACAGACTAAATGTATTGGTATAGCATACCGTATAATACTATACGGTTAACCATTTATATACTAACCGCATCTGTTCCGTTTTTGCAGGCCTATGGCACGAAGAAAGCCTATGTTCGGTTGACTCCAGATTATGATGCATTGACTCGGTATGTAAACATTTGATGAAAATGTTTCAGACACAACACTGCTATTTTCATTCCTTGTATGCATACAATTTTTTAACTTTTGTTATTACATATGGGGTTAAATATGGCATACTGATGAGTAGGATGGCTGCTATGTTTCTACTCAAAAAGAAGCAGCTTACACGTTCAGCAATGAAAGAAAAGGGCGAGTCCTGTGAAGTGACAATGACCATGATAGAACAACAAGGTGCTGCAGTTGTAAGTGCTAAAGGCGATGATGTGGTGCCAGGGAGAAATTTGACACTTTTACTGATTCTATATAACATATACGAACTTGTATTCTTAGTTTAATATACTTTCACTGATTTTTATGTTGCATGCACATTTAATAATGTGATCTTTAATAAACAAGTTTTTGTTTCAGATGATGATTATGATGCATTGAAAACTCATCCTGATGATCGGATAAACTCTTAAGACAATGGAGGGATAAGTGGAGAAGAGGAACATATTTTCAGAAATCTTCTTTCCAGAGTTGGATTCCATTTAACTTATGGAGATAATACTTCCAAATCATAAGTTACTTTTAGAGAGAAACTTGCTGGCAGTTCTGATGGGAAAAAGGCCACCAAGGCTAATAAGTCCTCCCAGAGTTTGATGAACTTGCTGATGGGAGTTAAAGTCTTACAGCAAGCAATTATTGATGTACTCCAGACAGCTGCAACATCATTGTAGAAAATGTTAACATTGGAAGGAGATATAGCAGATGATATACCTATTGAGGTCACTGGAGATGTTTTAAGGATTCGGAAGATTCTCACAAATTTAGTCAGGTACTTTGATTTATGTGATTGGGAATCTCTCGAGTTAATACCAATTTTTATTTGTGCTTCCTTCTCCTCCACTTGGTATTGCATTTCTGATTATGTTTTTTATTTTGCAGCAATGCTGTCAAGTTTACACATCAAAGCAAAGTTGGTATAAAACTTTATGTTGTTCCAGAGTCATCATTTGCCAAATAAGAAGAATTCCATCAAACGACGACAGATTTTGGCCAATGGGCTTACTGTGAGTTTCTAAAAAGACTAGTACCTAGATTTTCGCTTTAGGTTGCTGTTGGAGTTTCTATTATGTCACATAATTTACACTTGACAGGTTGCTGAGGGTCCAAAAACTTTATGTTGTTCCAGAGCCCTCATTACTGCGATAGATTTTGGCCAATGGGCTTGCTGTGAGTTTCTAATAATGGATCTGCTTCTTTAATATTTTTTACCATTTTTTCACTTCTGTGTTAATAAATTGCTGTTTTGTTTCCATATGTTCGTTCAGTTGGCTGACTTGGATTTGGCTGAAGTTGATATCAAGAAAGCTCTCGAGATTGAACCTAACAACAGGTAAATACTCTAAATAAAATGCTTTGTTGAGTGTCGATCAAAAATCAGTTATATGTAGCTATGGGTATGCTTGAATTATTCTTTTTAAATAAAATTGCTTTTGATTTAATAACCAGGGATGTGAGGTCGGAGTACAAGAGTTTGAATGAAAAAGCGACATGACAGATGCAAAATGTTATGAGAATACCTTTAGCGAAGTGAAAAAGTCGGATGATGTATACAAAATGTTAATGTTATGACCACGTACATAATACCCATTCAAGAATAAAAGCAGTTGTATACAAAATACGGTAAACACTTTTAACAAACCCAGATATGAGCACCGCTACCCCTATTGAAATGGATGCCAGAAGCATACCAAAGACCGTCACTCCTATTGAAATGGATGCGTTTATCAGAAGCATACCCAAAGACCGGCTCAATATAGTTTGAGCCGCAGACCACCTGTTCCACAGTCCATTAAATGATAAAAGGCATGCCATAGATAAAACAGTACAAGAAAGGTCATGAGCAAAGACTATAAAAGATATCTGACAAAGAACTTCAAAGAGAGGTCGAATTCATTCAATACAAGAGATATTTCATTTGATTTCTCTGCATTCTTTTCGGTCATCTTGCAGTCGGTGGATTGTATAAGTGGTTGGGATGGTGGTGGAGATGGTGAGTTTTGAACGGGTGGTAGTTGAGGTGTCAGGGTAGCTAGATAGATAGCAGCTCTGGTGGATGTGAAGTCGGAGTACAAGAGTTTGAAGGAAAAAACGAAGGAGATCGACAAAACCGATACAAAATGTTATGGGAATACGTTTGAAAAAGTTGGATTCTCTAGACAGTAATGTAAGTATTTTTTCTTTTTATTGCTTCTCTATTACATTTAACTCTACATTTTTACTTTAATATTTTGTAGTGTTTTTTCATTTATGTGTTAATAACTTGTAAGATGTATTGTTTGCCCAGACAGGCGAAACTGATAAAATTTAAAGACTACAACACAGAAGTCTATGTCTATACCGACTACGATTTCCGGTGTGGCGGAAAATTATTTTTAGTTACATTCAAAATCACCACAGATTCAAACATCACAGTTTGAACTTGTTCAATGCTTAATCCTTTCACTACTATTAGGATTTGAGAATTCGTTATCATTTCAACTACTACCACAACCGAAAAACTACATACTAAGGCAACTTGAAGGTTGATTGTCATCTCAACTAGTACCTAGAAACCACTTTATCATAGAGATGATAAGGTGGTTTACAATCTAGGTACTAGTTGAGACGGCAATCAACTTTCAAGTTGTGCTAGTATGTAGTCTTTCGGTTGTGGTAGTAGTTGAGATGATAACGAATTCTCAAGTCGTAATAGTATCGTAAGAATTAAGAATTGAACAAGTTCAAACAGTGATGTTTGAACCCGTGGTGATCTTGAATGTAACTTGAAAATAATTTTCGGCCACACCGCAAATCGTAGTCGGCATAGACATAGACCTCTGTGTTGTAGTCTTGACCTTTGGACTAACTTAAGAATTTTATCAGTTCCGCCGATATGGAAAAACAATACATTTTACAAGTTATTAAGGAAAAGATCCTACAAAATATTAAAGTGAAAATGTAGGGTCCGTAAGTTAAATGTACTAGAGAACCAATAGAAAGAAAAAATACTTACATTACTATCTAGCAAATCAACCTTTTTCACTTCGCTAAAGGTATTCCCATAACATTTCGCATAGGTCTTGTAGATCTCCTTAGCTTTTTCCTTCAAACTCTTGTACTCTCCGACTTCACATCCACCAGAGCTGCTAGCTATCAAGCTACTCTGACATCTCAACTACCACCTGTTCAAAACTCATAATCTCCTCCACCATCATCACAACCACTTATACAATCCACCGACGGCAAGATAACCGAAAAGAATGCAGAGAAATCAAATGAAATATCTCTTGTATTGAGTGAATTCGACCTCTCTTTGAAACTCTTTGTCAGTCTGATATCTTTTATAGCCTTTGTTCATGACAAAGTTAATGATATGGGATAAACTACATTAAATTGTACTGTTTTATCTATGGCCTTTCTGGTTCACACAAATGCCTTTTATCATTTAATGGACTATGGAGCAGGTGGTTTGCAAAGCAAACTATATTAAACCGGTCTTTGGGTATACTTCTGATAAACACATTTATTTCAATAGAGACGGCGGTGCTCATATCTGGGTTTACTACCCTTAATCTGTAGAATAAAAGGCTAAACTTTGTGTCAGCAGGTAATGTTAATTTCTCCATTAATTCTTGCTTAATGTTATTCTTACATTCATTTTAACTTAACAAATAATGTTAATTTCTTTTTGAAATGCACGTTCTATGTCAATTTTCATATTCTCAAATGTCTCAACTATTTCTATAACGGTACTGCTTTATACTTGATGCAGATAGTAGCAAGGAAGTAGAGTTGGTGAGACTGAGCTCTCTTTCAGAAGTTAGTATTTCTGTTTTGTATTCCTGTGTGATCTTTTAAGGAAGCAAGTGCATTCAAGCGTAAATCTATACACAGTCAAATGCACTTTTCGGAATTCGCCTTGCATTTTGCAGGGAATAGTTGTTTTTTATCAATATCATTTCTTACTTCATACTGTGTTGAACTAGAGCCATCACATGTTTCATTAAATGTTTATCGATGCCGAAGAATATTTTTAGCATTATTCTCTTGTGATTTAAGAGTGTGTTCTATTTCTAATTTGTGTTTAAGTCTTGAATACATAGTTATTAGATTATTAATTTCTTATGTTTCCTAAATTTATTTTTTCACTTTTTTTGGCCTTTTAAGTTTGTTTGACTAGTTAAGGTTGAAATTAGCTTTATGCATAAAATGTTACTTATTTGAGACCTTAGCGTAATTGGAGAAAAAAATATGATATATGATATCACGTCTTTATTTATTTCACTAGGCTGGTAAAAATTTATTATGCAGAAAAAAATCTATGGTTTAGTTTCTTTCTGCTACAATATGTTAAAATTTTGTTATGAAAAAAAATAATTTATAATTTAGTCTAACACTTGATGTAGGATTTAAATGAAAATTAGAGTGTAATAATTGTATATTTTAATAAAAATATAAAATTAATTTTTTATTTTTTTTAATACATGTTTTTCTATAAGCAGAATTCTTAACATATGTCCTTCAGACACAACTTAATATTATTTTTTTATAAGGATGTGATGACTTAGTATAATTGAAACAATTACCCTTATTTCAACATGCTTTAACGTCATTAATTCTTCATAATCTTTGGAACTTAAACCGTTAAATGAAGTGTGTGTTGATTTAGAGAATAATGATATTAAAAATCAGTTTGGTAATCAGTTGTTTGATGAGTCAATAATTATAAAAGATGAAAATGTTCAATAGTTTAAGAATGATGTCCTGGAACAATAATTGATAGATCATTAATTATTAAGATATGAGTCTCAATTGATAAACACAAATTTAACAGATAATATTATATAAAATCGTCAAGATGTTGGGTGTTTGTGTCGTGTATATCATTTTATATTACTTTGCTTCATTAAGCCACATATGTCATTATATTAGTCTGTATATGCATTTATTCTGAGCAGTTCAACATTTTTACACGACCCATCATATTATTTTTGTGTTAAAATTTTTACAAATACAATTTAACAATTAAGAAAAACATTTTGTTATCGAATATCATTTAAATGTTTATAAAACTTCATAAGTACGTTTCTTCAAATTGTTTAAATCTCTCTTTCTTTTTTCTATTTTATTTTTATAAATATTTATGTAATAAAAAGATAAACTCTTGAACTATAAGATCAAAGTTTAGACCATTGAATATTGTATCATCATATCTTAAAGTATATTTACTTTTCTTTATTATATATAAAATAAAGAAGTTGGAAGTATCACGGTTTTGTCAATGAGTTCAATTATGAAATTAAACCCCTTATTAAACTAACCTATAGTTAATTTTTCATTAGATAATTTTTTATTATACCATATATCCTTCTAACACACTGTGTGGATTTTCAATCATGCCC